GAACCGCAGATAATAATCTGACGGCAGGCATCTGAGATCTAAGCATGGGAACTTTTATCCACCCGTGGGACTTGCAGCTAGCCTCAGAGTGGGGGTTGGGGCATGTTCTCTGCAGATGTCCCTTGACCAGTGGACAGGACACTCTCTCCCAGTGGGTAGTGTCAGGATTCAGTTGCCTTCCCTGACACCAGAGAGTTGGAGCTAGGAATCTGACACATGCCTCTAACAGCAACCTCTGAGAAAAAGCTCCTCTTTGCAAAGCTGTTCTGAGACTAAGGGGTTAGGGGGCACCCTTAGACGGTGTTGGAAGCCTTCGGGCTGAGATGGAGAGTTTGATCCAATCTGGAACCTTCTCCAGGGAAACCAGGATCCATATCTCATAGGGGTGGAAGAGAGAACCCCCTCAGCCTGGTTGTCTCTCTCTCTCACTCCAGAGGCACCTATGAGGAAGGCAGCCAGGACAGACCATTGAGATCTTGAAACTATTTCTACAGGACATTTGCGAACACCTATTTTTCATGTGGGGCTTTGGGCACAGATTTCATTTGCAGAAAGTGGGTCCATTGCTCACCTTTTTGTCTGACCAGTGGGTAGGGTGTTTGCCTTGCACGCAGCCAACATGGCCGACCCGAGTTCGATTCCTCTGGCCCTCTCAGAGAGCCCGGCAAGCTACCGAGAGTATCTCGCCCGCACGGCAGAGCCTGGCAAGGTACCCGTGAGGTACTCGATATGCCAGACACAGTAACAACAAACTCTCCAACGGAGACGTTACTGGGCCCGCTCGAGCAAATCGATGAACAACGGGAGGATAGTGGACAGTGGACAGTGGCCACAGTCAAGTGCTGCCTCTAGATCAAAGGGAAGATGACTGGAAATATAAGAAGAGAAGGGGGACATCCTCTGATTGAACCAAATCATTGTATCACTGTCATCCCATTGTTCATTGATTTACTTGAGTGTGCGCCAGTAACATCTCTATTCTTCCCAGTCCTGAGATTTTTTTGCAGCGTCTCCTTACTCATCTTTTCCAACGCTGCTGTATTGGAGGCTCTTTCAGGGTCAGGGGAATGACACCCGTTACTGTTACTGTTTTGGCATATCAAATACACCACGGGTAGCTTGCCAGGCTCTGCTATGTGGGCTCTCGGTTGAACAAATAGACTGATCATATAGCTTCCCCCTGTTATCAGAGGGCCACATCCTAAAACCCATCAGTCTTCTTATATCTTCAGCATTCTTCCTTACTCTCGTAACAACAAACTCCTAATTAAAGGGGAGAGCAAATACATACACACACCAAGCTAACACCCCTCAAAATATATTTTAATTCTGCCTCCCCCTTTACTTCTTTGTGAAAGAAGGAAGAGAGGATGGAAAAAGGAAGAGACTTGAATAGGAGGAAATTGGAGGTGCCCTCATTGGCATTAATATTTTTGGAAATGGAGGGATCAATTTGATTTCGGCACTATTGAGTATAAATCTGCCTTTCTTTCCTCATTTTTTCCCCACTTTCTGCCCTCCACATGACAAGCCACGGAAGCTTTTTCTCCCTATTTTTCTCTTTCTCCTTCCCCTTAACCCATCTGTATGGCACATTCATTTAGGAGACAGCAATCTGAAAAAGGTTATAAGACTCAGAAAAAGAAAGTTAATAATAAGCCCAAAGACTGGATGGATAAAAGATGCACATGTGTCCCCAGAGTCTATATAATTTTCTGACAGTGGAAGGTGGAGGTAAAGGTGGAGGCAGATGGGATCAGGGAAGGAAAGAGACACTAGCGACAGGAGAACTTGTCCATAGAGAGCATGTAACATGGTGAGCGAATCCTCACATGTTGATCCCAATCTGTAATTGATGGCAAGGTCACTGTCCTCTCCTGGGAGAGATATTCATGAGCAACAGTGTCCAGTGGCTGTCAATGCACTTTCCTACCACATGATCTCATTTTACCTCTCTCTACAGTGCCAAAAATTATTTAGTATTCTTCTTTAGCCTTTCAGTTTTTCCTCATCCCCTCTCCTCATCCCTACCAATGAAGATGAAAACTCCTTGGGCCGGAGAGATATTACAGGAATGAGGGCATTTACTATGCAAGCAGTCACTTCTAACCAACCCTCATTCAATCCCTGCTGGCATATATGGTCACCTGAGTACCACTGGGGACCACTGGGGCACTCCTGAGCACAGAGCCAGAAAGAGCCCCTGAGCATCCCAGCTGTGACACAATCACCAAACGAATACATTTTTTTGGCCTTTTTTCCAGGGGGTCACACCCAGCGGTACACAGGGGTTACTCCTGGTTCATGCACTCAGGAAGTATTCCTGGTGGTGATTGGGGACCATATGGGATGCTGTGAATCTGCATGCAAGGCAGACACCCTACCCGCTGTGCTGTTACTCCATCCCCACAAATGACAACTTCTTAACAAGCAATGATTTGACCCTTCTTTGGGGGGTCTATCCCTGCACCCCAAGGTTTGAAGACATCAATGAATACTTACGAATAAAAGAATGATAGAAAAACAGTGTCCACTTACAAGGTGGCTTTGTGATGAAGCATCAGAATTTCCGAGTCGGGCCATGGAGAGCACATTGTCCACCCCACAAACTCAGTTTTCAGTGCATTTAGTCCCAATGAGCCCCGAGGAAAGAGGTGAAACCAGAAATATCCCCTGTGTTCAGAATTGTAGTGCAGGTGAGGACAAGGCATTGCAGGAAACAGCCCTCTTCCCTCTCCAGGAAGAAAGAAAGAGCAGTTCTGAAGGCTGAGCTCACCACAATAGAACCACATGCACGCAGAAGGTTGAGTAATGCTGCAACCCTCTAAGTCTGACAAAGACTTTTTGGATGTGTAGCACATTGCAGCTATACTGACATGCACTAGGAAAATGTGCTTCACATGTTCACAGGTGAATTTCATGAGCTGGGTAAATATCAAAGATCCCCTCTTTGGTTAAGTCTGTCTCCCATTTGACCTGTCTCTTGACTTCATTATATTCTTCCTCTGCAGAAAGAATAAAGCAAAGGCAAAAGATCATTTACAGAGGTGTTTAATTTTAGCATTTCACTAGTGATGTTGAATATACTCCTTTCAGAACATATAAGTACCAAAAAAAGAGAGTATGATTCAGGATAAATAGAATTTAAAGCAGGGAATATGTTTCAATATACTGGACAACATAATGTTCTGTGTGTGTGTGTGTGTGTGTGTGTGTGTGTGTGTGTGTGTTGTGGGGGGTGGGAGGGAGGACACAAAATGACCAGAGTGAATGATGTTTTAAAAATTTAAATGGTCTTTGTAGATAGTGTGAGTGCAAAGGAAACTGATCATAAGTAGCACTGCAGGGGCAACGGATAGCACCAAGCATAAGGCAGGCTGCATGGGCGTCCTCACAGAGCACTCTTAGTTCTTTTTATTTTTATTTATTTAGTTTTTGCTTTTTGGGTCACACCTGGTGATGCACAGGGGTTCCTCCTGGCTCTGCTTTCAGGAATCACTCTCCGCAGTGCTCAGGGAACCATATGAAATGCCGGAGATTGAACCCAGGTTGGCCATGTACAAGGCAAATGTCCTACACGCTGTGTATTTCTCCGAATCCCATTCTCTTTATTTTACTCTTTAAAAAAAAGCCCAAGCAAAACAGATGTCTGCTCAGATACTGAACACATGGTAGGCTCCTTTATTGTTTTTATTTGTTTATTTATTTTGGTGGGGGATGGTTTCTGAAGTGGTGCTCAGGAGGCCCTGGACTCCACTGGCAATTTTCAACCAATGCGGCCATTGGTTCACTGCATGGGCCTGTGGATGTGGTGCTCCTTGGGCCCAGAAGGGCTAGGGGAGTCCAGGGCTGCACCTTATGATGCTCCAGTGACTATGTGGTGTTGGGAATCAAACCAGGTTAGGCATGTGCCCTAACCACTATAATAGCTCCCAGCTCCTGTAGACAATTTAACTACTCATTTTGGGGCCTGGGGAGATGACTTGAAGATCTAGTCATGCAGGCAGGACACCCAGGTTTCATCCTCAGCACCACCCAATCCCCTCAGAGCACTGTTGGATGTGACCCCGAGTTTGTATTTCCCATTTTAAAAATTTCCCACCTTTCAATAATGACGTGGCTGGTATATGGAGTCCTTGTTGAGCCGATGCCCTAGTTAGCAGCAGTGTGGAGAGTATCCTTGAGGTCACCTTAGGGTTCAGCAGAGAGGCAGGTGATGATTAACCAGTGACGCCTGAGTGGCTGATGGGCCAAAAGACTGCTCAGATTTGGACAAATATCTTGTTTTGACAATAACTTTATGCTGTCTAACTTACACATAGTTGATTATAAAAGAGCAACCTTCAAATCCTGTCTTCGCTACCTCATTAATTCTGCTAAACTGTAATTAACTTATCAGCGACACCACAGGAGAATAACGCGGCTCACCATGCCTGAACAAAGACAGAGTTCCTGATCGTCACTCATCAGCACTCGACAATGCTCTTTGTCCAAAATCAAAATGAGGAAAGAGCAAATCCCTAACTCCTCCAGGGAAAGTAGCAGGGGGAAAATAAAACAGCCAACACACTAATTAATTACTCCTCTGTCTCTATCCTTTGTTTAGTTTGTTCTTGGAACTCTACTGGCATCTATTCAAGGTAACTTTAAGCAATAAAATAAAAATAAACAAGATTTGCAAGTAAGTGGTAAAATCTTGATTTCAAAGAACTTCCTTAGCCTTTAGCTCAGTACCATTTGTTATTTATCTTGCATATAGCAGAGAGATCTGTGCCTTGCCGTGGGGGAAAATAAAGGAGTTATAGCTCAGACATTTTTAAAATATAAGAAGCATATCTAAAACTGTTGCCTTTGTGACCACTAACTTTTTTTCTTTTTTGTATATTAAATCTCTATTTTTTTTTTAAAGAACTGAATTGAATTTATGTTGAAGGAGACTCCATATAATGTTGGGTTACATGCCAGTCTTTCTTTTCCATATGGATTTTGACCATGCAGTTCTACTTCTTCAAGTGTGAAATCCTATTGAAATGACTTTCTAAAATATGTTGTGGAAAATAAGAATGAATAGAAGGCAAGTTCTCATTCATGACTCCCAAGCAGGAGACAAATTCATCAGGCAATAGGGTCTGTTCTAGAACTGATTCATCGGGTGAAGCGTTTTCTAAAAGCTGGATGGCCTCCAAACCTATTGAGTCTTGCCTATCCAAAGAACTGCATTCTCCTGGGTTTAAAATAAGGCTTAACTCTTCAAAAAACAGTGAGCTTCTTAGGGAATTCCTTCTCAAGTCAGAAAAAGCAAAATCAGGATACTGTTGAAACCGGATATTCTCTCCCAAATCTAGAGGATCAACCTGTGACGACAGAGTTGGAGAAGCCATTTCATCATTATTGCTGAGATGCTTTCCCCCGGTGAGGAAATTTGAAATCTGGGGTTTGTATCCTGTGTTGATGTCAGGAATATAAACAACCGTAGTATTGGCGAGAAGTGACTGGTGTAGATGGTCTCTGGTCTCCAGAGATTTTATGTTATTTTCCTCTGTGTAGTCCACAGGATTATGTTCTTCTGGAAGAACAAATTCTATCTCTGTAACCACAGGATCAGCATATAGGATCTGTTCGCAGGGATTATTATCCAGAAATTTGCTTTTTTCCTAGGAATAAAAGACACTGTTTTATTTTACAATGAATATTTAAAGGGACCAATGGGCTAACCAAAGCCTGGAATTCTGCCTGTCTTTCAATATTTTCCCGGCTCCCATTTCTCATATTTTTTTTCCTCTTCCTATGTGATTTCCTCCTTTTGTCTTTTGTTTTTCTGCCCAATTCCAAATCTTTATTTAATGTTTCCAGGAGGAAACTGAAGGAAAGGAATAATGAAAACAATTCATATTCTAACTATATTTCTTGAATAAGAACTGAGATTTTTAAATTTTTTTATATTTTAATTTTTATTTATTTATTTTTTTAAATTGAATCCCAGTGAGGTACACAGTTACAAAGATTTTCACGATTGGGTTTCAGTCATATCATGATCCAATATCTGTCTCTTCAACAGTTTCACCAGTGTGCATTTCCCATCACCAGTGTCCCAAAGTTCCCTCCTGCCCCTGGGTCCCTCACCTCTATGGCAGGCACTTTTCTTCTCTCTCTCTCTCTCTCTCTCTCTGTCTCGGTCTCTGTCTCTCTCTCTGTTTCTCTCTCTCTCTCTCTCTCTCTCTCTCTATCTCTTTCCTTTTGGGCCTTGTGGTTTGCAATACAGATATCGAAAGGTTATCAGATATATTCCTTTATCTATTTTCAACACTCAGTTTCTGTCAAAAATGATCATTTTCAACTATTATTAGAACAAAGCATTTAAACACATTTTTATTGTGTTTAAATATTTTGTAAACAAAGTGTCTTGCATATTAATTTGCATACTATTTAAAATTTGGTATCTGAAGTGTGTTAGGCCATTTCTTATTGTTATCCTGACTGCAAGAAAATATTTGGTAGCTTAGAGGAAAGAATGGTGAAGGAGGAATTTCTACAAGGATTCCATATTAAGACTACGGTTGGATAAATGCTTTGTGTTGTGATTCTATAGGTATGTGGCTGCTCGTAATCCAGACATGTCCATGAGGATCAGGAATATGGGGTGAAGAAGGTTTTTACTAGTACAAAATGCCTGATGACCCTAGGCATAAAAAGCTCTTCCTGTTGAAGGCTGCCCTTTCAGGGAAACCAATTCCCACCCAATATAATGATCCAAGTAGAACTGCCTTCTGTAGACTCAACATTTGTGTCCTGCCTCTTTCCCGTTCCATGCCTTTATCTTCCATGCTGAATGGCCAACGTGGCCCGGCCCTGATAAAACCTTCTCCCACTGTCTTCTAACCTTTATCTGTATTCCACGTACCTCAGCAGCGAAGTGGTATCCAATTTAGACTCCAACCTCATCTTGAGTTTCACATACAGTGAAAATTCACTCTGTGTCTTTGAGGCTCAGTCTGTTAAGCTTCTCTACCCTCCTCCTTCATCCATGAATTTTCCACCAATTGCTTAGTCATTGATCCACGAAGTTCCATTAAAATTTTCTTTTCTGAGTAGCACTGTTACTTTCTCCCTCTCTCTTTTCTTTCCCCCACTCCTGGCCTCCCATTTCTTTTAAGTATGCTTTGAAATATATGTGATTTTTATTCTTATGTTTACACAACTACACTAATATGAACACACATTTGTTTATTTGGTTAGAGATTCTACTCTAACTGTTGTACTTTGGCTGCCATTCCTCGTTTTTTAATCTGATGGTGTTTGGTTACCTGAATTTTCTTCACAACATTACTATTTTCCAAATTAGGAATATCTTCATGAAACCACTTTGGTGTTAACCACAAGAGTTTTCTTTTAATTCTAGAGGGAAGACAGGGGGACAAGTTAAAAAAACATTTCACTTTAGGATTGGCACAGGCAGTCCTGTGAAGAGATTCAGAAATCAATTATGAGGAAAAGTATCATAAAAATCAATGTCCCAATTCCATGTATGTTCATGTTTTCCTCTTTTTCTCTATTGCTCTACTTTTTTTTTTCTTTTTGGATCACACCTGGTGATGCGCAGGAGTTACTCCTGGCTCATGCACTCAGGAATTACTCCTGTCAGTGTGTGGGAGACCATATGGGATTCTGGGAATTGAACCCGGGTCGTCCGCGGGCAAAGCAAACGCCTACCTGCTGTGCTATCACTCCAGCCCCTTTTGCTCTATTTCATCTAATGAGCTGGGGGGCATTTCAAAATGATTACCCAAGATTCAATAAAAAAGGTAAAAGGCCCTCCTGTTGATCATTGATTTGCTCAAGCGGGCCCAGTAACGTCTCCATTGGAGACTTTGTTGTTACTGTGTTTGGCATATCGAATATGTCATGGGGAGCTTGCCAGGATCTGCTGTGCAGGCGAGATACTCTCGGTAGCTTGCAGGGCTCTCCAAGAGGGGCGGAGGAATCGAACTCGGGTCGGCCATGTTGGCTGCGTGCAAGGCAAACGCCCTACCGCTGTGCTATCGCTCTAGCCCCCAAGATTCAATAGAGAAATGGAAACCATACACATGTTGATAATACCCAAACATTATAAGCCACAGAGGTTGCGGTGGAAAAGTTTGAGGACCAAATGGATATTTCATAGATCTGGCCAAGAAAAAACCTTGTTTATCACCACATAACACCACAATCAGTCCCAAAATTGGCTTATAATCTTTCATTGAATAGTTGTTGCACGGTATAACTCTGTTTGTCATGCTGCTTGAAAGGTAAACAGACCAGCAATGTATTCACCAAATGGTCTCCGGATACACCATTTGTCTTCACACTTCAAGGAGCAAGCCTAGAATTCTCAGTGCGCTCACGCGGTAGTGTATTTCTGAGCTAACTTGCCTAGTTTGTCTAAAGAGCACTGCAATATTAATCGTTTTGTCACTCAACCCAGTGAAGAACCATAGGCACCTGGGGAGCTGGCAGGCAGGGGAAGCTGCCATGGGTAAGTCTTGCGATCTGCTAAGTCTTGCTTCTTCCCACGCTAGTTAAATTGCACCGTCTGCCTGCCAGCAATACACTGAATCAGCCTGCTCTGCTGGTTTTAGACAGTCTCCGAGGTCACAATGTACATAAAGGGAAACAACTTCTCTCCGAAATAAGCTGCAGTAGGTAGTAATCTCAGGGACCTAACATCTACCTTGCAGCCACTGAATGTCTATGTAAAGAAACCCTTTAAAGACACTCGTCATTTCTACTTAGAATAGTGCCTGGCTCAGAGCAGACGGTGCAGATACCTGTTGAGTAAGTAGGTGCAGAGATAATCTCTGCTGCTCCACCAAGAATCTCAGCACAGAGCCAGAGTGCGGCTCTCAAAGGCTGTGTGCAATGTGTCATTTGTCATTCACTTGTATCTATAGTTGGAGGATAAGAAGAATGAATCATCTCATTCCTACTTTAAACAAACTGGCAGGCTACTGAATATAACCTGCCCACACGGCAGAGTCTGGCAAACTCCCCGTGGCGTACCCAATATGCCAAATACCAGTAACGATGAAGGGTCTCATTCTCCTAACTCTGAAAGAGCCTTGAATATGCCACATATTTAAAAGTCTCAGGGCTAGGACGAAGGAGACGTTACTGGGGCCTGCTCGAGGCAATCGACGAATAACAGGATGGTTGTGATTGATTGTGATTGTCATTGTCATTTCTACTAGAGGAGTGAATGATGAACCGGAAATATTAATTAAGCACCTGCCCTTGGAATGATTGTACATGGAGGTATTTCAGAGTTTAAGCCACGCAGACTTTAACCTACACGAAACTTCTCAAAAGCTTCAAACAGATGAGAATTTTTGAGCCAAAAAGATAGTTAAGGTTAAGGTGTTACATCTTGCATCTTACCAAGCCCAGTTCAAATTCCCAGCACAGCATATGGTCCTCGTGAGTAGCACCAAGCGTCATTTGAGGACTGCAGGGTGTGGCCCATCTCCCCTGCACACACACACACACACACACACACACACACACACACACACACACTCTCTCACACTTACCTAAAAGAAAAGATGGGACTTTTTCTTTTAGGGAGTGACACAGTGTGTCACCACAGTGAATTTTAACTCTAGAATTAATTTTAATTCTGTGGCAGAGTGATGAAGTAAACAAATCTGGCAAGAGGAGCTGAGGGAAGCATGTCAGATAAAAAAAAAAAAACAGTGCCACAGAATCTTCAGAGATTCTATGTCTATATTTTGTGACACTGTAGTAAGTTTTCTCAAAGTGTAATAGTTCGATTATCTGTAAATCAATAACAACTAATATGTTTACTTTTTCCCCCAAGGCCATAAAAAATGTTTGCTAAACTATCATGAAAAAAATCATGTATGTTGATTTGGATTACTCAGTTTATTCATGTGTATTTATTGCATCCTCATCTTGCACCCAAAAAGCATAATAATAAATAAGCTTTAGGGGCTGGAGAGATAGCACAGCAGGTAGGGCGTTTACCTTGCACGCGGCCGACCCGGGTTCGATTCCCAGTATCCCATATGGTCCCCTGAGCACCTCCAGGAGTAACTCCTGAGTGCAGAGCTAGGAGTAACCCCTGTGGATCGCCAGGTGTGACCCAAAAAGCAAAAAAAAAAAAATGAGCTTTAAGTAATACTAGCATAATTTAAAGAAGTTTGTCATGATGGTCACAAAACATTTTTTGCCAAAATAAATGCATAAAATATATGATGGTTATGAGGTGAAATATGATATTAAAGCATCGAATGGCCTATGACAAAATTGTATTCTTTGGATCCTCCCACACTAAATTTACAACAATTCTGAATAAGGGAGATAAATTCTGATTTAGGTGACTCCTAGCATTCTTCATGTAGATGGGAAAGGAGACTGAGACGTCATCACTGTTGGGGGACCTAATGAAGAATCTGCACTAATGTTCTAGTGTGCCTGCTAAGGATTGGCTTGGTGGGGTGATGGAAATGAGAGGGAGAAGCTACAAACACCCCACTTGTTCCAAGCTACCCTGGCCACTGACACTATGTCAAAAAACTTTCCGTGTTTATAGTACACATCGATTTGGGCAAACTGGTTGGACTAGGCACATAGGCGAGACTAAATGGATCAGTGACACACTTTACATGTTATCTATGCACCCGTTAACACACAGATAAATCACATCTTGAGAGCTTGTTTGGAGGTTCTAGCAGGGGATTGCTGCTACTCATTATACCCTCGACCAAAGATGGGTCAGTCTCTATTCGGGGAAGTCCACCCTCTTTGACCGAGCGCGCAGCTTCGGGAGGGATACACATGGAGCGGTGAGAGAGGAAGGGGACACCTGCCTAGCCAGTCAGATCAGCCGAATCAACCCTAGCGATCAATGGGGTGACAGATGTCACAGCCAGATCGCCCTAACATCCGATATATCACATCTGAGGGCAGCATGTCAGATAACAACACCAAGAAGAGTGCCTCAGAATCTTCAGTGATTCTAAGTCTATATTTTGCAACACTGTAGTAGATTTCTCAAATTTTACTAGACTATTTGTAAACCAATAACAACTAATATGTTTACTTTACCCCCCAGCTGTGAAAAAAAGGTTTGCTAAACTGTCATGAAAGATCATGCATGTGGATTTGGCTGTCAATCTATCTAGAAGGCTCTCTGGGCTTTTATTAAGTAATGAAAGTATTAACCACAATGGCTAGGTCCAATCTGACCTTGGGCTGTAGGAGAAAAATAATATCTTTACGTAAACTTACACAATGTGTTAGTATTCAACACTTTTTTTTAAAACTAATTCAATCTTTTTTTATACCAAGAAAAACTAAAATTAAACCAACTGAATAAATTAATTGTATTGTTGAAGTTTTACTAGTGTTTTAAATATATCCAGCCTGGTTTGATAAAGGTTTATACAGTTAGAACACATTCACTAAAATATTTTAAAAAGTGTCTGTCAAAGAGACAGACTGGTGGGTGGGAGAAAAATGGGACATAGGTGGAGGGAAGTGAACACTGGTGAAGGGGTTGGAGTTGGAACATTGCGTACCTGAAACTCAATCATGAGTAACTTTGTAAGTTATGGATGTCTCAATAAAAAAATAAATAAATAAAATTCAGCCACTGAGGGTCACATTATATTTTGTCCTTAATTATTCAGTTCTGTTGACAAAGTCAGTCTCTTAATTTAGAAGTATAATAAATAACAGTACCTGCTTGTATGGGCTGGAGCAATAGCACAGCAGGTAGGGTGTTTGCCTTGCATGCGGCTGACTCGGGTTCGATTCCTCCGCCCCTCTCGGAGAGCCTGGCAAGCTATTGAGAGTATCCTGCCCACACAGCAGAGCCTGGAAAGCTCCCTGTGGCATATTCAATATGCCAAATACAGTAGCAACAAGTCTCACAATGGAGACATTACTGGTGCCCGCTTGAGCGAATCGATGAATAACGGGAGGACAGTACTACAGTGCAGTGTTACCTGCTTGCATATAGAAGTAGTTATATTGGAGATCTCTTTTATCTTTTTGAAAAGAATACTTATTTAAATAATTAAATTGGCAAAGAATTGTCATATTCCTATTAATAGCTTAAAATTCCTTTTTAGGGTATACTTAACAAGAATATACTGAGGCTGGGCATGTAACTCATTGGTAAAGTGCTTATCTTATATCTGATTCCTGGTATCACAAAAATGAAAAAAAGAGGAGGGTGGTATTCAACTAGGACATCTTTGACAATGACAGAAATATTAATATTTTCATGAGATACAGATTAAACATTAAGATACTTCAAAGGACTTTATAACCAAGAGTTTTGGTGATAGGATAATAATAGTCCTGTAATTTTGCAGGTTTTTAAACAACTTAAGATGAGTATTTGTTCTTTCCTGCCTTGCTTATGAGTTACGGACTTAATTATTTACCTCACAAGGGTATCAAAAATTAAGTTTGTTCATGTGTAGCTTAAAATTTGAAATATTGCATTAAGTTCTGAAGAAAAAATAAAAATTAAAATTAAATTATGAGCATATTTTATTTAGAACAACTCATTCCAAGTCCATAACATTTTGATAATAAGTTCAAAGGAAGAAAGATGATCTCTTAAGCAGATGAGTAGGCATGAAAGAAATTCTGTGCCATCTTGGCAAAGAAAGTGTGTGTATCGAGGCCTGGCCTGAGTGGGGGGTACTGAGGTCATTCTCATAGATTTAGAAAACTCACATCTAGGACGACTTAGGAACTCACGTGCCCAGCTCTTGGTGCAGTCTTCTTTTCCAAGAGTTAGGCATAGATTCTGACTCCTATGACTTTCCATACTGGAAAAGAGGGAGATGAAAGGATGCCAGCATGAGAAAGGCATCGGGGTAAGAGGTCGCGTGCCCACTCAGGCACTGCCACACTTCTCTTGGCCACTCATCTGTTTGGATGGTATGTGAGGTAGGCTAGGATTTAACCCCCCTAAAATCCAGGCACTGGAGATAAACTGCCAGGCACAGTGAGATTATGTGATGAGGACGGAGATGAGCTACAGAATGAACTGGCCTGGCCTCGTCCATCCAGACCCTGGATGAGCCACTCACCACTCTGAAGTTCCTGGAAGCCATCTGTGTTTGATGCCACCGTGCTTTCCTGTGGGGTCCCTAGTGACCTCGGTAACCGTCTGGGTAGGGGTAGGTATTCATTCAATTTGAGTTTTAAATTGTTCCATATACTTTTCCTTTCTCTGGATGTAAGTGTTGATGGATTTATCTAGCAAATGGCAGAATTAACTACAGTGGGGGTAAACATATGTGCATACATATATGTAAACACAAATGTGTGTGTTTATATTTTTAACTAAAATTTGTAATAATACACACATATGTGTGCTTATGATATTGTAACTAAAATTTGTTATACGTTTGATCACAGAGTTACAAAAGAATTAAGGTTTTTGTTTCTTTATTTTGATTTGGAGGCCACACCTGGCAGTGGTCAAGACTTCCTCCTGACTGTGTTCAGAGATCACTCCTAGCAGAGCTCAGGGACCATATGGGGTGCCAAGATTAAACCTGGGTCAGTCATCTGCAAGGCAAGTGCCCTACTTGCTGTGTCATCGCTCCATCCTAGTTTATGCTTCTGACATATTTAGTTACTGCACTTACCATCACCAAAGTGCCCAAGGCCCTCCACCAATGTCCTTGTATTACACCTCCAAAGCAGTTTAAAATCATCATTAAAAACCATGTGGTACCAGAATGACTATTGTCTCAATTCACCTACTCAGTTCCCTCCACTCCCCCTTTCACTGGTTAATCTCAGGTATATATTCCAGAGTCAAGGATTTGTTCTCAATGGAACCTGTTGATTCCTTTGTTTTGTTTCTCCATGTACCACAGTCACATTCAAAATCTGAAAAGAGATTCTTCCAAAACCTACCCTGTTCGAAGAGACCTGTTTAATATCCCAATCAGAGATAGAATGGACAACCCAATAGCGAAGAGGATCATTCCTGATAAAAGTCCAAGATTCTGTTGCTTGTAGCCTGAAAGGCAAGAAAAATAATTTCAAGTCAGCATTAATATCCACATGATGCCAAAATGACCATTCTCTCCTTTTGGCTCAAAGCAAAATTCATTGCATTCAAAGAATAAGAAGGAGGGAAGAACACCATTGATCTTTACCCAGGGAAGGGACAATTTGTAAAGGCTATAAAGGGACTTCCCTCTGAATCACGTGACTATACCTTCCCTTTGAGAAAAATTGACCTGTTCATATCTTCTGTCACTGGTTTCTAGAAGTGCCGCTCTGGCAAATGTGGTCAGCCTGAGACATTCTTCTTAGCTTGTGCATGCATATTTTATATAAAAAGTTCACTGATGAACCTCTTGGGGTTTTTTTTCTGACACAAGTGAGAATTCCGTATTGCTTTAAGAGTCTAAAACTGGCCACAGTCATAGCTGAGGTTTTTTGGGTTGTTTTTAATCTTGAGTGCAAGACAGAATTATGTGAAACTTGTCACCATGCTTCAAACTTAACTGTTCACATTATTTTTCTACTGAGAAAGGACATTTACCCCTTTTAGAATAATGTACAATATAGATAAATAAGATAACATTTCTATATATCTCATATCCATTAAAATACACTCACAATGCTTTTCCTGGCACCAGAGAGAAAGCTCAAGGTTCTGGTTACATGCTTCGCGGACAAGGGGCCAAGTTCCATCCATGGCACCAATGGTCTCCTGAGTATCACTAGGTGTGGCCCCTGAGCACAGATCCAGGGATAGCCCCAAACTGTATAAATTCTTTAGGGGCAGCCAGGGGAGCCCTGACAGCTCTTCCCCTAGCCTGCCACATCCGGGGTAGGTCCAGGTCGCTCCCCCAGCTGGGGCAGCCCGGATCATGGGGCAGACAGTGGACAAAACGAGGGCCATGCCGGTTGGTTGATCAATTGCTGTTTCTCCCCACGCGCGTGCCCCAATCTCTCTGAGCCTCCCATTCTAGTCTCCACTGCTCCTCATTCCTGTTTCTCCTGTCTCTCCCTCTCATCTCTCCATGCTCTATCTCTCAGCCTGGGCTCCTTCTCTCCTCGAGCCTGCTCCTGTATTCTTCTACATTCTTCTCCCTCTGTCCACCTTGCTAGTCTCTCTGCAGTCCATCTTGCTGCCCTGCTCTCTCTTATCCTCTCCAGCTCTCTCCCTCTCTCCAGCTCTCTTGTATCTCCAACTCTCCAGCACACTGGGGCTGACACTGCACCCAGTCAGGCATCAAAATCAACCTAAGAAAGCCCTTCCTGAGAGCCCCACCAAGTTCAAAGGGAACACCACCTAAAAGGTATTCCAAAGCCCTTCCTGACTGCCCAATGGCAAAATACCTCCTAAGGTATTTTTCTCCTTTCTTCAGTCCAATAACTCTATCAGCATCTTAATACTAGTTATTTTTGTATGGACACGATAAGAGATACACTGAGGCTTGTAGGGCAGCTCTCCTGGGAACATCTTGCCACAGACTCAGACTACAGAACTCAGGCCAGATTTACCATTCCTAACCCTAGCAGGGTCCAAGTCTAGTTATTACTTTTTGGATCATGACAGCATGTGTCCATGATTAAGCTCTTAACTTATAGTTAAACATTATGGCACTTTGGCCAGGCCCATCTCTGTGCCAGGGTAGCACATAGATTACCGCTTGCCCTGGTTCCGTCCAGTCCCTCATAGGGACCCTGCTTTTGGGGGTGCTTGGAAGTAAGGGCAGCTGAGGCTTAGGTCGAGAAAACAGATGTCCAGGAGAGTCATGTTACAAAAGCATAGCATATACTGTCTTCTTGTGTCCATACAAACAGGACATTACTCTGAATAAACTATGAAAAGGATTTAGGGAGAAGAGAAAAGCAATACTTACAAGTCAACAGAACACAAAGAAAGAAGTTACAAATAAACACAGAGGAATGGGAGCACTGTGATGGGGGCAACCCAATAAGCCTAAACCACCTGAGGCTATGCAGGAAGAACAAAACAGTGTTATCCTACACCCAACGATCAATAGATTTATCCCCAAACAAACAAAAACCTTAAAACACCCATTTTCTTGTATATTGAGTTAACTTTCTTAAATATTTCTATTATTAATATGCTATATTCAATATATCTCTTAGCAGGCCCCCAAGTCATTCCTATAGAGGACATGAAATTTTCTTATTTTTTAATGTAGGCAATACTTGAGATAAGACTTATTACTAAAATTTGCTCTTTAGTTTTTGGACCATACCCAGTGGTACTCAGGAGTAACTCCCTTGTCAGTGCTTGGGGGTTGCTCCTGGCAGTGTTTGGGGGACCATGTGGTGTGGGGATTGGACCTGGGTCTTCTGAAGCAGAATAAGCACTCCGTTTTCTATGCTATCTGTGATTCCTGGTCTTTCTTTCTCCTTAGGCCATTCCCCACGTGGGACCATGAGGTTCTGGGGGTGAATATGGGGTTCTTACATGCCAAACATGTGCTTTAGTCCTTTATGGTCTCTTTATGACCCAATGGACTATAATTGAGATAAGGCCTATTGCTAGAATTTGTTCTGAGCCATTAGGTATGGCCTTTTCCTCTTTATCAAATGATTATTAGATATGAATCATGTGGCAGAGCCTATATTTGCTCTAGTCCATGCATCTACTAAATTCTTGGGGTTCTGGGGGCTGGAGCAATAACACAGGGGGTAAGGCGTTTGCCTTGCACACAGCTGACCTGGGATCGATTCCCAGCATCCCATATGGTCTCCTGAGCACTGCCAGGAGTAATGCCTGAGTGCAGAGCCAGGAGTAACCCCTGAGCATCGCCGGATGTGACCCAAAGAGCAAAAAAAATTTTGGGGGGGTTCTCTAGGTTGTGAACTCCTTCTCCTCCAGCTAATGTGTGTGCAGGGGCCAGTGTAACTGTTGTTCACTCAAAGTCTGGGTGGAATTTGGAATTAGTGATCTCTGAGGATTGAGATCCTATTCCCAAAGATTTCAAGCAATGAATGGGAGGTATTGGCTTTGGACATTTAATACCAGGGAGAGGTCAGAGACTCCCCAAGTCAACACAGAGATCAGCAAAGGGATCTAAAGAATTGAATTGAGTGACCAGGACCAGAACCTAGGATGCCCAGGTTTTATTTGGGTTCTGCCACTTAACAACTCTGACCTTGGAGGCATAATTGTAAAAACTTTGGAGCTCAAGTTTCTCCTTTTGTAAAGTAGATATAAAAATAAGGGTCTTTCTTTCTGCTCTGCATCCCTGCCTGCAGAAATACCCAGGAACAAGTGTGTGCAGTCTCTATAGTAAGTGTGAGGCACTGAACCTAAGACAGCAGCTCCTGACCCAGGTACCTCTCTGTTCAGCGCAGTCCTACCTCGCTTCCCTTTCCCAAAATTCACCAACATCAGGCTCTTTCCTGGTTCTGTTTGTTGTTCTCCTCCTCCTCTCTGGAATGGAAGTTCCACAAAGAACGGGGCTTTGCTTGTTCCCCCCCACCCCACTACTGCTAGTACCCTGGTACCCAGAATTCTGCACATGTAATGACTTAATGTTCATAGACTAAATCAATAAAAGTCCAAGGAATGTCAGTAGAACCTGCTAAAAGTTTTACTTGCCTTGCAGAGTTTCTTTTGAAGAGATAAAAAACAAATCATGGCCCTAAATCAAGGCACCAAGTGACCAAATTCTCCCAGATAGTTCTATCTCTGCACTGAAAATTCTGTGGCCATCTCGGAAAGGGGGCAGGAACATTCTCTTTCTTTCTGGATAGTCCCAGCAGACGTCCAATAGACGTCCTTACCTTCATCAGTCAACCTCCAACATATAAATGGTCCAGCTCCACAGCTTCTGGAGTATGTAACCATATTCAGGGCTATGTAACAGCCTCTAAATTTCACAGTACTGAGAGCCAGAAGGAACACAGCAAATTTGATGGAAAAGTTGCACAAAAGCCCACTGAGTTCAGTGAGTGAAAACAATAACACACAAGGCTTAACCAGAACAAACCTGCTCAGTCAATCCTCAGACAATGACATTAGTAACACCATTGTGATATATAACAAGTTGACTTGTATTGATCTACCAGTGGTCAGTATTGAAGCAGTTATGCCCGAAGACTTTCACTTAGCTTCTATTTAGGGTTGTGATTACCTAGTGGCACATCATGATCTAATATTAGCTTTCTGCCTAAAAAAAAATAAGACACTAAGGAGATAGTTCAGCAGTCAGGGGTGCATGCAAAGCTTGTGTCAGAACCCAAATTTGAACCCTGGCACCACAAAGCCCACCCCTTTCCCCAGCACCACTGGTTGTAGCCCTCAGTCAAGGTGGAAACATCTCTGAGTGCTCAAGCCCTTAAGCACTCAATTACCCTGGCTGACTCATTATGGTCAAGAATGGTCCCCAGATGTTTAAGTATGTCCTGGGAGCTTTCTCAAGCCCCCACCAAGAAAAAATTCCAGATATTAACCAGAGGAATCTAGCACAGGAAGTAAGGCCCTGGTTCTATCCCCAGCACCGCATATGGTTCTTGAGTACCACCAGGAGTAACTCCTGAGCACAGAGCCAGGAATAGTCTCTGAACACTCCTGAATGTGGTTCCAAACCCACTCACATTCTTCCCCCTCCCAAACCCAGATACATTACATTCACTTAATCACTTAATCACTTAACTTCCCGTTAGTCGTTGATTTGCTCGAGCAGGCGCCAGTAACGTCTCCATTTGTCCCTGTCGCGTGCTAGTGTAGCCCAATGGCATCTGTTCGCTCCGGGAACATGAAGGGCCTCAAACCGATCGTTCATGATCTTGACGAAGAAGAATGACTATCTGGTAGGTGGGCGGCCACGCAGTCTTTTGACATCCTGTGGAATCCAGTCGGTAACAGCTCTAGTCCAGCGATCGTCTTTAAATCTCATTACGTGACCAGCCCATCTGATTTTTGACACCTTGGCAAATGAGACAGCGTCCCTGATTCTTGATCGTCGACGGATGTCAGAACTCCAGATTCTTTCTCTCATTTGAGTGAAACGTGAT